CCTCCTTGGATTTCCAAGGTGGTATCACTATGAAAGTAGATTGCCCAGTCATTTTTCCGAGGAGTAGCTGGTGGTTTTGAACCACCAGTCTTCTGGTTAGCAGTCAGACGTTTTAGGCACTATGCCACCAGAGCTCCAAGAAGTAGAGATCTAGTGGAATTAATGGACACTGGGAATTGTAATAAATATGTGGGTAATTAGAAAGCATTACCTTTTATTTTCATCTCTTAGTTTCTTTAAAATGTAACTAACTGTTGGAAGCAAAAGTAGTTAATATTGTATTGAGGAGTCTATAAGATGTGAAAATATATGATAATAAAACAATGAACGATGGAGGAAGAGAGTATGCCTGGGTCCTTCTTCTCTTCCCTCCCATTTATTGGGGCCAAGCTTATTGCTAATGCACCCAATAAGGGCCTTGAGTGGGAGCTGCACAGAGGTGGGCACTGGTGTGTCCCAGCTAGGGGAGAGGTGCATCCAAGGCCCAGCTTTGGGTGGCATGCTAGGCTAGGGTAGGCAGGGGAGGTATCTGTGTTGTCTTTCATGGCTGTGAATTGGCTACATGGTGCATGGAGGAAGTTGGCAAATAAATAAATCCATTGAGGATCATGGGAGATGGTTTTCTCACTGTTGAAGAGCATTAGGCCCCAGGCACACTGTATTTTGCTCCATTGAACTTGAAATTCTGTGTAGCAGAAGTGCTCAAAGACTGATGAGATATGTCAAGAAGACATTTAAATCAGTTTGAAGCAGGCTCCCATTGGCCAATTCTGGACAATTTTTGAGCATTAATATAAATAAAAGATCATATTGGTAGCCTTTTTAGTAAAATATGAATCTGTTGGTCTGATGTTTGTTGGTGGTGGTACCGTGCAGTTGGTTCCAACTCATAGCAAACCTGTGTGTGATGGAATGAGACATGCCTGGGCCTGTACCATCCTCACAGGTCTTGCTGTGTTTGAGCCCACTGTTGATATAAATAGATGAATATATAAGTAAATGTGGGCGCATAGAAGCTCTACTCTCAATCAAAAGCCAACTAGTAGATTTAAAAAGGATGATGAATTTAAAAATCACCATTTGGCCACTATCACAGTAATACTCGATTCAGGCAAGTGTCACTAATAGGTGTTAAGTCTGGTGAATGAAAGTTTGATGAGGAACAACATTTAGATGGATTCAAAGTGTCTCCACAAAAAAATGTATTGACTATCAGTTAATAAGTACAGTATGTCTATTATTTAACTTTACAGTGGAAAATCCATGCAGATGCCATCTTAATCAAGTGATTAAAGTTACTGTCTCCAATATGGAGCCAAACTGCCATCCTCTGCCTCATGATGCAGTGAGAATTACCAGCACCAGTTCTATAGTATTCTTGCCAAAATGCCTAAATCAGGAGGAAGTATCAGGCAAACCCACACTGAACTGAGGCACATTCTACAAAGCAAATGACTGTTATTCTTTAGAGCTGTCAAAGAATACAGGAAAATCCTGGAGAACTATTTCATCAGAAACAAAAACCAAACTCACTGCCCTCGTGTCAATTCGACTCATAGTGACCCTCCTTGGGTTTCTGAGGCGGTATCACTTCGGAAGTAAGTTGCCCAACCTTCTTTCCGAGGAGTGGTTGGTGGGTTTGAACTGCTACCCTTCTGATTAGCAGTCAAGTGCCTTAGACCTTATGCTACCAGAGCTCTCTTTTCATACTCAAGAAGACTATAAAGACAGGATAGCTGAATCTCACATGTGATCCTCATTAGATTGTTAATGTATGAAGAATATTATTGGAACAATTGGCAAATTTGAATGCAATCGGTGATTATTGATGGTTATACTGTGTTGTGTAGGAGAGTGTCCTTATACTTAGGAAGTACATTGAAGGATTAAGGGGTAATGTGCATCATGTCTATGGTTTATTTTAAAATGGATCACAAATGTTAGCATTGGGAGAAGCTATGTGAAGGGTCCTTGTAAATTCTGTTTATTAGTTCAGCAAATTTAAGCTTGACATTATTTAAAAATAAAGTTCAGAAAATTCCTAGGCTGTGCATTTAGGAAAGCGAGGGACACTCACTTTCTTCATGCTTCGCTTCCATGATTCCTGGCTGAGAAAACCCTTCCTGAGAATATTAGTGTGGATTGGTGGTTCAGAGTATTGCCTGATGACAGAACCAGTATACTTCCATGAGAATCTGCATTCCAGCTTTCCAATACCTTTGGACCTAATATTTGGGCAATTTATGATCTACCAAAATATTCAAGGAATAATGAGTCTCACTGCGTAGTATGTAGTTGTTCTTTACAGATAGTTTTAGATGGAAAACAATGATTGAGTTAATTCCTATTAGTGTGGGTACAGCCTTATATGACCCAGTCAAAAAAAGTGGGGAGGGAGCAATGGTGGTAGAAGTCTCTGAGGAAAAGAATTTAGACAGTGGTAGAAAAAAATAGTTTTGAGTAAAGGGATTTCCATACAGGTAAACTGGTTTCGTTTTCACCTTGTAGTCAAAGCACCTATAGCGTCTTTCACTATTTATTTCCTTCTGATCTGACATTTTCAAAAGCTCTATTCTCTCCCTGTAGAATACTAGAGTTAGGTATTTTTCCAGATATGCTTCATAAAATCTAATAGTTTTCTTCTTTTGTCTTTAATTGGAGACTACCAAAACACTGCCTACAGAATTGTAATGTTCTAGAATCTTAGCTGGTTACCCAAATAGCCAAGCTATGCTTATATGGGTTGCACTTCTCATTTAGTTCAATCTATGAAGTTTTAATTCTATGGGCTTAGAATTTTTCCATGTGTATTATTTATCTTTTCCCATTCACTTCAGGCTTTCATTCTTTTCTCCTGCCCCCATGCTAAGTCTTTATTTCTTTACCAAAGCTGCTAAAAATATCTATTCTATATTAAACTACCATTCAAAGCTTATTATAATCCTATAGTTATTTACTTCCTTGTGTTCTTACATGAGCTTGTTTACTTGTGTTCTGATATGGGTGCCCTGATATGGGTATATAATATATGTGTATTTTTTCTTCTATCAGATGTTCAGAGAATTCCAACTTCTTACAAGAACAGATATTTACAAGAAAACAAAGCACATTTTGGAATCCTATTCAGAAAATATACTAACTTCTTATATAGTGGCAAATAATCCAATCAATATTGTTTTGCAAGAAAAAATGAAGCAGTGCACAGATGAAGACATACTGAAACGTTAGTAACCCTGCTACGGGGGGACGTGGTCTCAGTCATCTGTATAATGCAGAGTAACTGGAAAGCTGCTCTTTGGATAATAAGTAAAATTCAGTGGCACAAGTGATGAGAAAGAGAAGACTGTCTCAGATAAGCACCCGCAATACTGTAAAATTCTCCTTAGGGAACTAGTAACTTGTTTATTTTATAATCACAAAGCACAGCACAGCAGAATCATTCTGGATGATATGACAGACAGGAAAGATAAGAACCCTCATCTTTTCCTGTCAGTGATTCATGAGGTTTTTAATGTTTATTAGAAGGGGATGTTGGTTAAATACAAACCAGAGACACTGATCTAAGTAGGCTAGTTTGTTTTGTGTTGTTGGTGGTGCTGTTAATTATTTTTGACTCATAGTGACCCCATGGGAGAGTGGAACTGCCCTGTTGCCTCGGCTGTAATCTTTATGGGGGCAGATTGCTAAGTATGTCTCCTGCAAAGCAGCTTGGTGGGTTCAGATGGCCAAATTTCCAGTTAGCAGCTGAGCCCTTAACCACTGTGCCACCAGGGCTCCTGTTCTCTTATTGTTGTTATGTGCCGTCGAGTCAGACCCGACTCATCACGACCCCTCCTTGGGTTTCCAAGGCAGTATCACTACGAAAGTAGATTGCCCAACCTTCCTTCCGAGGAGTGGCTTGTGGGTTTGAACCGCCAGCCTTCTGGTTAGCAGTAAAGTGCCTTAGCCACTATGCTACCAGAGCTCCTTGTTGTCTTGTAGTAGGTACCAATTAACTTTTTAAGCATCCAGTTATTTTAATACTTTGTTTACAATTGATAGAAGCTTACTTTTCCTTGGGATTGTAAACATTTTTGCTTTGACAGATATGAAGATGACGGCCACATGTTTACTCCTACCAGATGTTTTTGGGGATGATTCCAGCCTTTTTGTTGTTGTGAATGAGAAGGTATGAAATCTGCCAATGAATACTGGTTTGACATTCCACATTTTCACAGAATCATTTATTTAAAAGTAGGATGGTGGTCTGTTTTGAAGTATGTTTTGTCGTATTTTTACATAAGCTATATTGTAACAAGCTCCTTTAGTATCATACTGTGGTAAAGTTAGGTTTGTTTTATTAGCTATTTTGCGTATTATCAGGTCATGACGCCATTATCATTTATTTCAGGTGCAGGTGACAACGCCCGTGTTAGAAGTTAAAAACCCTTTCAACATCAATGACTGTGAATTTTCTTTGTATTTAGAAAAAGAGAGGCTCACAAAGGTGGATGACTGTGTTACGGCCTTGGCCGCACTGCTAGCTGCCTTTCATGTATTTGGGATTAAGTGTCCGCAAAGACTGTGCCAAACCCTCAGATTCCTAAAGACATTGATTTTTGATATGCATCATCCCTATTTTTCCTCCGTAACAGGAAAAGAATGAATTTCAACACCCAGCCATTTAACAGCAAGCAAAATGTTGTATCAGAATTATCTCTGGGACTGCTCAAATGTTATAAAAACTTGCTTTGATTTAGGGTGCTAGATGTAGATTATTAGAAAATCACCTCGAATCAAAGATGTCAATGAATTACACTTCCTTTGGTCATTACATTTAGATACTTGTGAAATTCTGTAATAAAATAATGCTTAAAGGATGATTGACTTTGAGTTCCATAAATTCCATGTTAAAGTTTTACTTTTGAAGGTGCACTAGTTTTTAAAAGACACAACATTCACATTTACTTGAATCCTCTGGATTAGAATCTGACTGAAAAGATTTAATGCCCAGGAGTTGCAAATTTGGGGTCTATGGGCTGCCTCTGGTTTAAACATTGCTTGGAAACATTTTAAATACTCCAGTTCTCCTTTCCTCCGTAGAGTCTGCTTGGCCCTAGTTGGGGATTCAGTCAAACACACTTATGGAGAACATGGCTGCTTCATTTCCGGGGTCTCCTTACTGCTAGCTGACCTGGCTGGCATGTTTTCTGATCATCTGGGACTGTGTCATTTTGTCCTGCTTCCCTCTGGAAATTCAACGATCGTCTGTTACTCATCTTCCCATATGGTTTCTGGTCTTGACTTTCAGGGTTTATGTCTGCCCTATGTGCCCTTTTTGCTTGAGCAGGTGGGCATGTTTTGTGTGCGTGTGTGTGTGTGTGTGTGTAATCCAGTAATTCCCTGCATTATGGGTGTCAGACTCACACTTGCCCTGTAATGTTAATGTAAATTAGCCCTCACTCTGAAATGACTGAACCAATCCCTATTCGCAACAAATTCTTCATCACAGTCACCTTCACTTGATGGCCCATACCATTTCCAAGGCTGTAAATCTTTATAGAATCAGCCAGCCACATCTTTCTCCCACGCAGTGGCTGGTGGGTTCGAACTGCCGACCTTTCAGTTAGCAGGCAAGTGCTTTAACCGCTGATGTCACCAGGATTGGTTTCTTGCCTTAAAGTAAGGTTAAATAAGAACCGTATGCACCTATTTTACTTAACCTACAAATCCGACTTAAAAGACACACTTAGGAACGTATCTTGTTTGTAACCTGAGGGCTGCGCAGACTGACCTGGCTCTTCACTCAGGACCATTTGGGGACCAGCTTCAAGTTTTCAGGGTAGGCCTCTTCCTAGCTGCTTTCCAGCCTTTCTCAAGAGCCCTGGTTGATTCCCCATCTCATCTGTACAAATGGTTACAGACTCCCACCTTCTCTGATTTGGTTTGTTCCTAACAATGGCTTTACAAGTACTTTTTGGATCTATTAAGACTCAGTGAACTCTCAATCTTTCCAAACATTTCCAAGGAAAAACATTTTTAAAGAAACCTTGATGCCATCATTAAAACACAAATGCTACATCTCAATTTTGAAAGAACAGGGATGAAAGAGATTTTCAAATGTGTTAATATCTGCATCACGACGCAATGAATATTTTTTGGCTTTTTTTTTTTTTAATTTCATGACCTTACATTAAAAAATGTTTAAAAAAGGTGTTCATGTGAATTATGAAAGAAACATTTCTACAACATGCATCTTTGGAGATGGTACAAATTACTTTACCACTGAGATCACCAGTTTCCTGGATATTATCTTTTCTCTCTGTAAGGACTGCTTACACTCAAAAATCACTGCCACTGAGTCATTTCTGACTGATAGTGACCCCTGTTGGGTTTCTGAGGCTGTGTATCTTCACAGAAGTAGACTGCCATTTTCTTTGCACAGAGCAGCTGGTGGGTTTGAACTGCTGACCTTCTGCTTCGCAGTCAAGTGCCTTATCCACTATGCCACCAGAGAGAAATTAAAATGTTTTAAGTTGGGGAGATGAAAGGACATGAAAGGTCAGCTGCCCATCTGAACAATGATTACTCATGAACTATTTACAACAGACAGGGGAGAGGAAATAACTTGGCACATGTCACTTTCACAGAAACTAGTCCTTATCCCATAGTCACTATTTCTTTTACTGGACTGTATCTTACAAATTTTATTTCCCCAAATTGCCTCAACTATTTTTAAAATTTCACAATCTTAGTCTTCTTCACCAAAATGAATTTTTCCATGCTTTTCAAGATTACTTTCCTTACAAAGTATACAATTTCTAAGGCTGAAGTTGAATTAAGTCTTTCTTTGGGGCATAGTGATGGCGGGAGAGTTACAGGGAAACTGCAGTGAAGTTTGGCTTCACACATGACATGAACTGACCATGAGGGCAGATCACAAACTGTGTCTCCCTCAACAGTGTACCTATGCTCAGTGCCCAGCACAGCCCTCCCACCTGGTAACAATTTGTTTCGTGACTACTACAACCCTATTTTCTTTGGAGGTTGAGTTCATAGAATGTAGAAATTACAAAGTGGCAGCTTATAGACACATTTCAACCTGCAGATAGGTCTTACTTGGCTTGTACTACAAGATTTCTAATTTTGCCTAAGGCATATGACTGCTAACCAGAAGGCTGGCGGTTCAAACCCACCAGCCACTCCTCCTAGGAAGGAAAGTTGGGCAATCAACTTCCATAGTGATACACAAGGAGGGGTCGCTATGAGTTGGATCTGACTTGACGGCAGTGAGTTTGGTTTGGTTTTATTTTTAGTTTGGACAGGTTCTACCCTGTTCCACATCCCTATCCATCCGTCTGCTCTGCCTTACCTCAAGACTGCATCTCTCACTCAGTGACCTCTCTCTGCCATCCTAACATTTGTTTCCTCTATTAAAACTTAGACTATATTTTAGGAATGGAATGACAAAAAGGACTCCCCATTCTCGAGGTACACTAATCCTGTGCCACCCTAGTATATTTAATGACTTGCCTCTAACACACAACATGGTACTTAGAATGAATGAGGATTTTTGGTAAGATTTTAAAAATATCTTTCCATAAGAGACTTTAAACTACAAGGGAACAATCTCTAATGGGTATGAATCCTACTTGACCTAAAACTATTCTTTATGAATTTTTCTGTTGTTCTTCGTATCATCTGGGACATCGTTTGACAAACGATTCTGACTCCTACAGACGCGTGACAGAGCCATCTAATGTCCATATTGCACAGTATTGTTCCTGCTCTGGTTCTGCCTCTCCTAGCCACAGGTTTTCTTAAAAATCATACAGATGTAAAAAAAAAAAGCATCTCCAATTGAAGAGTTTATTTCATTCATATCAGATATAACAAGTGCAACTTGAATGTACAAATTCTGAACAAAACGTAAAAAAGGACCAAAAAACTCATTAAACAGATTTCATGCAAAGAAATGAATGGGACACTGTAGATGTCACTGACCCTGTTTTACCTGGAATTATGGCAAATGCAAAGGGCTGCTAATAGCCTTCCAATGGGAATACAGAATTTGGGAATATCGATGGAATATCAGGAAAGCTAACAGCAACTAAGGGGAGAGGTGGAATTTCTCCAGAATTCTAAGCGCATGCTACACTAACTTCCTTTGTTTTCAAAACAGTTCTTGATTAAATTTCCAATCCTGAAATTAGAAACTACATCAAAAGGCTGATGAAATAATTTACCTTTTTCCTTACAAATGCAATCTTGCCAACAAAAACAAAAACATAACACTATCAGCTATCAGTTCATAGGTAAGTGAAGGTTTCATTTAAAGTGCATCTGTACGCTTATAAATAGAGGCAAAGTGTTCTACAGGAAAAGGAACCCTTCCAACATGGAGGTACTTGAATGATTGCTTTGGGAACCTGCCTCCCTGATCTGTGAGCATTTAGAATCTTTGTCTACTGATTTTGCTCCATCACACCTTGCCTTTTCAGTAAAATCTATTCACTCTACACTCTCTCTTTATCCAACCCTGAAGAAATCCTTTGGGTTTGGAGGACCCCGTAAGGTCTGAGACAGCTCTTTATGAACTGGTGTAGACTACACTGAACCCTTTATCTCTGTGAAGCACCACAGTTACATCAACAACAGAAAAGCTCAAGATAATCTCATAAATAGTTCAAGATCCTTACAAACATTCCCCCAAATGTAACTGCATATTCCTTTGATACCAACTGACTCTCGTAAACACACAGGGCACCATGATGTATGAGATTGATGCCATTCAAATACATTACCTAATTTATTTCTGTTTATATATTTTATTTTTTCAGTTTCATTCTTTTATATACACATTTTTGGTAATTATAGTAAAGATGCTGGTGAAAAAGTAATCTGCTTAACATTTCATAATTCGTGCAAAAGTAAGAACACTGATTTAAAGAAAAGTAATTTTTACAACTATTCAGTTCCAACAAATTATTACAAGCAGTTAGGCAATATCATGACTTGCAAAGTTATACTTAGCATAATGTTGCAATTCAAAATATGGCACAAAATTAACAATACAGGTAACAGTCCCAACTGGCTAAATTTAGCCAGGTTTTGACTAATTTGGTTTAAGTTGAATTTTGATTATATAAAAAGGTTCCTGCAAGTATTGAAAAAGAAATGGTGTACATGAAAGAGAATTCAACAATGTTTACAAAATGCCAAAAGTTCTTATTCTGTCCCCCTTTATCCATAAATAATTAATGAAGGTTCCCTTGCCCCCCACCCCCAGCCTCAAAAAGATTTACAAAGATAAATTTAGCTCAGTGAACAGAACCAAAAAAGATGACTGTTGTTAGACAGTACTTGCTTAAAAGCTCAAGCATTTTCAGAAAAATTCATATATTGTCTCTTGAGAAATATAAATAATCCGACAGCCTCGCTCTTCTGAGTTTTTGGAGATTTCTCCCTTAAGAGTTACAACCATCCTTGTGCTTTGAATAAAACATAAGCTTTAAAGTGGAAAGCTGATGGTACATAGAATCCAGTCTTCAAAGTTCATTGTAAGAGTTCTTTTCTGCAGCTTTGAACATCAGGATAGAATTGAAAATTTTGAGAGCAGGACCCAGCTTAATGCTCATAATTTTAACAATGTCCGTTTGGGTCATAAGCAGAAATGCTTCTCCATCAATTTGCTAAAATGGAGGGAAAACAAAAGAGCATGGATTGATCTGGTGCAGTGTTAGGGAAACGTTCAGAGTTGAATTATCAGCTGTCTTCTACGCAACAACACTAAAACATCACCTACGTGGATTTTTATGTGGGACTTTTCCTGATACATTGATCTTTCTAACCTATAACAATGCAACTGTATACACCCATGTGTCAACTGAGAGCAAAATAAAACTCATTTATTTGAAAACTCTGCCCATAGGAAAATGAAAGATGTCCGTATCTTCCTGTATTACTCTAATTCAGGTGTGAGTGCAGACGGTTAAACACTATGGAAGAATGTGGGGTGGCCCAAATCCAGTTCATATCATGGTAGGTTTACATATTTAAGCATAGGTACACAATATTTATGGACATAAAAGAATTCAGGCAAACATACCACCATAACAAAAAAAAATTCCCTTCTCTCAGTTTCTACTTTGCACAAAATGTAAACCACATTCTTAAAAAAGACATTTCAATCTTATTTTTCAAGTGTAACAGGAGGTAACTGGCAATATGAGAAATGTACCGCTGTTTTGTGGAGATACTTGCTTTGGTCTCATTTGCTTGTGTCATTACAACTTGCTGATAAAACAAGGCCAGGCAGAGAGGCAGATCTATCAACATTTCACTCAACTAAGGCAGCACTTAGCGGAATGGACAGTTTGATTGAGGTCTTCTAGTCATTAATGAGAATGTCAACATTTGGGAGCTCACTACAAAGAAGGCCTGGTTAATTACAGCCTTGGTGCCACTGAAGTCTTACAACAGCCACTGAGTCTTCTCCTTAATCTATGTATGATTTTCACCTGGCAGATTCACTCAACAAAAACTCATTAAACATCTATGTCGACACTCTCTAGGCCCGGGGCATACAACAGAGACAAAAACAGATAAACAATTTGTGGAGTGGACATTCTAGTAGCGGGAGACAAGAGAATAAGCAGCAATAAACATATTAAACAAGGTAATTAGTTAGGAGGCAATCAGTACTCTGAAAAAATAGCTGGTGGGAGAGATGACTGGAGCAGCCAGGGCAGGGATGTGTATGGCAACAGGTGCCAATTTTAAGTAGGATGATCAGGGTAGGGCTCATTGAGAAGGTGACATCAGAAGGATTGAGCCACATAAACGTGTGAAGGAACAGCATTCCAGGGAGATGGAAGAGCCAGAGTGTCTGGCCAATCCGAGAAACACCAAGGTGGCCAGTGTGGTAGAACAGTGTAAGGAGGGGTAGAAAGGAAAAAGAGGTCAGTGGGTGAGAGAAGTGATGTGTGTCAGATTGTAAGGCCTCATATTATAGGTCTTTGTAAGGACGTTGGCTTTTACTCTGATGGAGATAAAAAGCTACTAGAAGGCTGTGAGGAGATGAGTGGCATGATTTATTTTACTTATGTTTTAGCTGGATCACCTAGGTGTGATTATAAAGGAGCAAGCAGAAGCAGGGAGACTAAAACCCCACACACATCTACTGTGGGAAGAGAGCTTCTGTGATTACTAAAGAGGATATTACATTAATCCAAGTGGGAGATGATGGTAATCTGGACCAGAGTGGTAGCAATAGAAGTGAAGATACATAGTCAGAATCCCTATATTTTGAAAAACATCCCAAAGAACTTTCAGTAGATGACAGGAGTATGTAACAGAAAGAGAACTCAGTAGTAGCCCATCCTACTATTAATAATTTACCTTTTAGAGATAACTTACAAGAACCTAATTAGATTTGTATTATGGTTCACTTCTAGGATTTAAAACCAGTGCCTGCTGATCGTGTGAGGCACTTAAGAGCAAAGCTCCTGTTTTATTATCTTTGAATCATCCTTCTTAACAGATCATAATAGAGTAACATAGACATGGTTGGAAGATAACAAATCTTCACAGGAAGAAAAAGGGAATGAATGAATACACAAAAACATGCAGACAAGTTCACTGTCACACTTCTCACAGGAAAGATGGGCTTTAAGAATATTTGGTGCTTGAGAACCATCTCTCAAGATAATATGCAAGGAAGAAAAAAATTACTGAAAGAAGTAACATATCATTTTCAATTTGAACCTTACTTAAACTAAATGATAATGTGAACCTATAGGGACCATCTACATATTAACAGAATAAAAACTGAATTTATAAAATATACGTACTATAATTTTATTTTAAAAAATGTCTATAGTTTTACAAAGATAATGGCTACATGACTCTTTCAAAAGAAAAGCAACAGTCCCCTTTGAGTGAGTCTTTCAATGAGTCAAAAATCAACTGAGAGTGGTCCATATATTTAGGATTTAGGAGGGAGGGGAAGAAACTCAAAATATAAATACTGCCAATTAAAGAGCAACTGGGAGCTCTGGTAGCATAGTGGCTAAGGCATTTGACTGCTAACCAGAAGGCTGGTGGTTCAAACCCACCAGCGACTCCTCGGAAGGAAGATGGGGCAATCTACTCCCATGGTGATACTGCCTCGGAAACCCAAGGAGGGATTGTTATGAGTTGGGTCCGACTCGACGGCACATAACAGCAACAGAAAGAAGGTGAAACATTTGTGAAATAAGAACTTCAATTAGAAAGAGGCTGTTTAATATCAGAATCATGTGCACGTTAGGAGGCATGCATCAAAAGCTTTAATGGCATCTCACAGTACAATGGCAAGGACTACCACTGGCTGGGTTCTTAGTTGTCCCTATATGCTTGTTGTGCTCTTAATCACAAGTCTGTGGTTCTAATAGTCAAGGCTTAAACATGGGGCAAGCAAGCTGTATACACCTGTAACTGCAGGATAAAGCCTTTGAGATTACTTACTCTACTTCCTGCCTTCTGGCAGCATTACAGAGCTAAGATTCAAGTGACAATTGACTGCTCTGCTTGGAGGAGATGGCAGGAGAATGCCTTGTCTTTCTTCAGTGAAAAGAGACTCCTGTTGTACTCTAATACCATTACTTCTAGTACAGTTAGAAGTTGAATTCCTTTTTCCTCTGCTTAATATAAATGACATCATTATGATCATCCCTCACATTTAAGTAGTGGACAGGTAGTTGAAAACAGATGATAATCTTTGAAAAGCAGCCTGTAATAAACGTCAGTTATTACAAACCTGAGAGATATAAAAGTTCTAAGGGATTTTTTTAAAGCAGTAATGGTAATATTTATTTTAAACACCAAATGCAGTTTGGTATTAAAATGATGTGTAAATATAAAATAATGTAAGCTATTTCACTTTATTAAGATATGAAATATTGCTTATTTCTTTCCTTGGATGCTTTCTGTGCTATAACTATATAAATGCTGTTAAATGCTATTATATATACATTTTTATATGAGGCTACTGCTACTGCTATGGGGCATCATAAAATGGTCCTTAGAAACGTTTTCTTTGTATCTCATCTTATCCTAAGGCATTTTTATGAAACTGACTAGGCTGCTTGTTATACATCTAAATATCAGTGTCAATTTGTCAACTTCAACATCACCTATCTCTTTCACCTCTTCAACAATTCAACACATTTCACCATCCACTGTATTTGAGTACTTTGATCTTTTAAAGTAACATACTGCAATCTCGCCAAACACTTACTTCATCTTTAAATACTTTTCCATGTTCTTCACACCCAGGTAAGCTCTGTATGAATTCTGACACCTGTCAAAAATAATACAAAAATACTCAGTTTTTTTTTTTTTTTTCCAAATCAGAATTTAAACACTACAGGCTCAAAACATTTAACCCATACGTTTTAGTAGTTACTTTCAGCATGACCTCTTTTCTTAAAAATAAAATAAAGGTTAAACCCTGTACACACTGGATGACTCCATTCCTTAACCCAGAACTCCTATGTTCCTCCTCTACGTTCTTGACAAAGATAACAGAATGTACCTCATCTGTGCTCCATTTGGAAACTTTACTTGCAGGGATGCCAGCTACGGTTGGAAGAAGTTTGCTTTGCTGCTCCCAGCGCAAGGGCAGACATGGAATTGGGGACTTAAAGGAAAGAAAGACAGCTGACCGGCGCTGTGCCTGTTGTACAGTTGGTTCTTCTCGGGTACCTGGTCAATTCAAACACATGGAACATCACTCTCTGAAAAGGAGCAACAAAAGCTTCAAATGCCATGCATCTCCCCAAATAACGAGATTTGCCTTTTTGTTGCAGGGTAGTTACACCATTGATTCCTTTTAGCATAATATTCATTGAATAATTATATGTTTCTTTCTCTTTACTGAAGGTCATTATAAAAAACAACTTGTAAATTCAGTTTACATTTTTCATACATCACTTATCAATGAAGATGTTTCAGTATGTTGGTCAATGTTGTGTTTTTAATACTTCAGGAAAGAAATTTGCCTTAGAGTTTCAATACCAAGGAAAAATAAAACATCCAGCAACTATTTACCATTCTAGTTATAATAACTGTTCTTTTCTTATATCTCAGCTCTGGTTTGTTCTTTCAATTTCTATTTACTAATCATATTGACTTTAAAAATAGCCAACTTAAATTTCTTGAAAGAAAAGAATATGAAATTATTTTAATAAAATGAAAATATCAGAAAAGCAAATGCTTTTGTCATTCTTCATTTGTGCAAATAAATATTATAAGTCCAAAACATTCCATTCATCTGCAAGATCCTCGGAATCCAAACCTAGTATTATTGCTGCGCTCTTAGAATAGCTATTTTCTAGCAAATGATTTGTGTCCTTGGGGCTCAACTTAAAGCTCATTCACGATTACACCCTTAGTATTATTGAGAACAGCAACCTTTGTGGAAATAATTATTCAAAGCACCTCAGAGAAAGGCACCTCCCCATTTTCTCTTCCCTTATACATCAATCCAGCAACAGTGATACTTCAGTTCCAACACAAATCCTTGCCAAATGGTTCCTAGTTTAGGCTTTTGTACACTAAGGGTTTCTTAAAGTAAATGTTTTTAAACTGAAGAATAAGATTTACAGAAAAGATTGAAGGATTTAACACAGTGGCAGGACACAAGATCAACATATAAAAATCAGTTGAATTTCCTTTACACCAGCCAAGAGATCTCTGAAAAGGAAATAAGGAAATCAATACCATTCATAATATCTACCAAAAAAATAAAATACTTGGGAATAAATCTTACCAGGGATACAAAAGACCTATACAAAGAAAACTACAAAAACTTCAAGAAACTGTAAGAGATCTACATAAATGGAAGAACATACCATGCTCATGGATAGGAAGACTGGACATTATGAAAATGTCAATACTATGCAAAGCAATCCATACATTCAATGCAATTCTGATCCAGATTCCATCAACATTCTTTAAGAACATGGAGAAACCAATCACTAATTTTATATGGAAAGGAAAGAGCTTGGATAAGCAAAGCACTACTGAAGAACAAAAGAGCAGGAGGTCTCACACACCCCTATCTCAAAACCTACTATACAGCTACAGTAGTCAAAACAGCCTGGTATTGGTATAACAATAGACACATAGACTAGCGGAATAGAACTGAGAACCCAGAAATAGATCCATCCAGGTGATCTATGACAAAGGGCTGAGTCCATTAAATGGAGACGAGACAGTCTCTTTAACAAATGGTGCTGACAAAACAGGATACCCATTTGCAAAAAAATGAAATAAGATCCATATTTCACACCATACACAAAAACTAACTCCAGATGGATCAAATACTTGAACATGTAACTTAAAAGTATAAAGTTCAGCAAGGAAAAAATGGGTATGCACTTAACCAAATAAAACCCTAACAATGCCATCAAGTTGGATCCGACTCAGAGCAACCCCTCCTTAGGTTTCCAAGGCAGTATCACTACGAAGTAGATTGCCCAAGCTTCCTTCTGAGGAGAGGCTGGTGGGTTTGAACCGCCAGCCTTCTGGTTAGCAGTCAAATGCCTTAGGCACTATGCCATCAGAACTCTTGGGGATGAACTCAGGTGCCCTAATATAAGGCATTACTAGACTACCAAACATAAGTAAAAACACACAAACAACAGAAGACAAACTAGATGACTGGGACCTTCCAAGTATTAAATTCTTATGTGTACAAAAAGACTTCTCCAAAAGAATAAAAATAGAACCTACAGAGTGAGAAAAAAATATTCGGCAACATATATAACAAGGGACTTATTTCTAAAATTTATAGGAAATTCATATAACAAGGGACTTATTTCTAAAATTTATAGGAAATTCCAACACCTTAACATAAAAAAGACAAACAATCCAACCTAAAAAATGGCAGAAGATAAGGGCAGACACTTTACCAAAGAAAACATTCAGTGGCCAACAAATACACGAAGAAATGTTCGTATTCATTAGTCCTTAGAGCGATGCAAATCAAAACAAGGAGATACCATCTCACCCCAGCAATAATAGCAAAGTTCAACAAAATAGAAAATAACAAATGCTTGTGTGGATGTGGAGAGATGGGACTCACACATTGCTGGTGGGACCAGAACCACTATGGAAAATGGTACTGCAATTCCTTAAAAAGCTAGAAACAAAAATACCACTTGATCTAGTAATTCCATTACTAGGAATATATCCTACAGAAGTGAGAGCCAGGACATGAATAGACATATGCACACCAATGTTCACTGCAGCACTATTCACAATAGCAAAAGATAGAAATAACCTTAGTGCCCATCAACAGGGGAATGGATAACCAAACTGCACATAAACACAATGGAACACTATGCAATAGTAAATAATAATGCAGAATCTGCGAAACACCACATAACATGGATGAACTTGAGGGACGTTATGCTGAGTGAAATAAGTCAAGCATAACAGGAAAACTATTCTATTAGTCCACTATTGTAACAAGTCAAGGCAAGGTTTACATATGGAAGGATACTTTCTTTGCTGGTTACTAGGGTATGCCACCAGAGCTCCCAGGGATATTAGGGGCAGGGAGGGAAAACTGCTAGATAAGTAAGAGGTAAGTACTGATTTCAGTAAAGGGAAAGGCAATATACCAAAAGCGAGTGACCAACACAGTAACACTAAGGAAAAGGAAGACACAGAGAAGTGCACAAGTGGTACAGACATCAAAAGCACTTTTACATACACAACAATGCATTATCAGTAGTAACGAACATTAATCTATAGGTGGATACATAGGTAGACAGGCTAAATGATCAGGTATGTCTAGGCAAAAGGGAATATACCTATGACCATACATAAATTTGGCAGATGATATTTCTATGTAGGTATTTGAACATGCTATAATAATGTCCATATATATAACAGCACCAACACAAAGTTAGGATAACTTCTTTCAAAAAAAACCAAACCAAATTCACTGCCATTGAGTCGACTCAACTCAGTGACCCCTCCTTGAGTTTCTGAAGTGGTATCTCTACAGAAATAGGTTGCCCACTTTTCCTTCCGAGGATGGGTGGTGGGTTTGAAGCACCAGCCTTCTGGTTAGCAGTCAAATGCCTTAGGCACTATGCTACCAAGATAACTTCTTAGCTACATCCAAACACCTGAGGGAGTGAGTCACTAGGCCCACGGGCTTGGGACCATGGTTGCAGGGAACATCAATCTCAACATTTTAACACTGTAACATACTACAGAAAAATACTGTTCTACATCCTATTTTGGTGAGTAGTGACTGTGCTCTTAAAAGCTTGCAAGTGGCTATCTAAGAGGCAACAACTGGTCTCTCCTTGTTCAGAGCAAAGAGGAAAACCAAACACACATGGACACAATTAGTCCAAGGTACGAATGGACCATATGAACCTCAGCCTACATGATCCTGACCCAAGAGAACTAGATGGTGCCCAGCTGTCACTGTCAACCACTCAGAAAGGTATCAAAATAGGAGATCCTGGACAGAGTGGGAGAAAAATGTGGAACAAAACTCAAAATCATAAAAAAGACATGGCTTACTGGTCTGATAGACTAATGAAACCCCTGAGACTATGGCCCCTAGTCACCCTGCAGGCCTGGAATGGAACTCACTCTCATGGCTTCTACCCAAACAATAAACAGGAATATAAGGTGAACATTTGCACCAGGTAGGTACATTCCTTAGAACAATCAACCATGGGAGACCAGAAAAGCAGTACTTGCACAGGATATAGCTCAGAGGGCAGGAATGCATAGGAAAGGGAGACACACAGAAAAGGTAACCAAGGGGAAGAATTGGGAAGAGAGCTGTTACATTATGAGGATTGCAATCAATGTCATGAAACAAAATGTGTATGAACTGTTGTACAGAGAATGAGTTTGTTCTGTAAACTGTCAGCCAAATCATACACACAAACACACACACACAAGATTTACAGAAAAGTATATAACTCCTAAGTGTACAGTTCAATGAATAGCCACAATGTGAACAAACCCTCACTGCCATCGTATGTCTACTGAAATGTTTACCCCAAGATCTTAAAGACAGTTGCCTCTGTTCTCCTAAAAAAAAAAAAAAAAAAAATCTATGCTTTACTTTTCACATATCCATAATCCATCTGAAATTTGTATTTGTGTGTGGGGTAAGGACCAGTATTCACTTTTTTTCCCACGTGGATTTCTAACTGCCCCAACATGGTTTACTGAAAAGATCATCCTTTTCCCACCATAATGCACTGCCAGCTTTACCATAATATAAATTTATGTTTCCGGAGTCTCTATTTTCCTCCTCTGGTGTCTGTGCACCTACAAAGTTCTAATTACTATCACGCTGTTGAGGTGCTGATGGCTATGGATCAAGGCTGTGAATACCCTGGCTACTCTTAGCCCTCTGCATTTCTCCATATAGTTTAGAAACAGCTTATTATACAAACACCATAGGATTCAGACTGGGATTATCAGTGACCACAGATCAATTTGGGAGCTAGTGGCACAGTGGTTAAGTGCTCAGCTGCTAACCCTAAGGTCATGTTAGAGCTCACCAGATACTGAGTGGGAAAAAGATGTGGCAATCTGCTTCCATAAAGATTACAGCCTTGAAATCCCTATAGGACAGTTCTTTCTGTTCTCTAGGGTGACTATGAGTTAGAATCGACCACAGCTGGTTTTGTTCTTAGTTTTACAGATCAATTTTTTATCTTTTTTTATTTTAAGAGCTTGTTTTACATTCAATGTTACGTGTACATTTAGTTTCACTCCCCATTTGCCATGTCCAACCCTAACCCAGTCTCCTTCCCTCCCTACCCTGTAACCCCCCCCCACCCGTGCCCATCATATTTATGCTCCTGTTTGTCCTGCATTTCCTCAACCTGAATGCTGGTCTTCTGGTGCCCCGTGGTCCACTGCTCTAAGGGATGTATTACCATAAAGTATGTGGGTGCATCATCCTGGGTTGAGTGGTCTGCATGTACATCTTGTTAACTATTGGGGTAAGAGCCAGCCCCTGGGGGTGAGTTTTATTCCAGGTGCCGAATGTATTCCAGGGCCATAGAACTGGAGGTCTCATCAGACTTCCTCTGACCAGTAATTCTGGTCATTATTGAGTTTTTGGAGTTTGTTCCACGTTTTTCCTCCCACTCTATCCAGGATCTCCAGATTTGATCCTTTCCTGAGTGGTTGGCATTGGTGGCTGGGTACCATCTAGTTCTTCTGATCTTGAGGGACATCGTGTCCTAGGGCTGATTGCTTCCAAATGCCCTTGTTTTTTTTGGCATTCTTCTTCACTTCCCACACTAGGAAACCATTAGTTGCATCTTAGATGGCTGCTTGAAAGCTTTCAAGACTTCAGTCACTACTCACCAATGTAGGATGTGGAACAAGGCTTTTATGTATTTTGTTGGGTCAATTGAGTCTGCTGTTCCCCAGTATTATGGTCCTGAGACAGTAGATCTATTGGATCTCTCTCCCATAGTGTCTGGGTGTCTGTGACGGATTACTCTGTGTCTGTCTTCTATTGTTTCTATAATGATTGCAAGTATTTTGTATCACTGGTGTTTGTGCAACACTAGCCTCAGCTGAATCTATCCTTGGTCTAGAGTATATCCCATCTGATCCTCTCAGGTGTTTATGTGTTTATCTGTAGCCTGGTGTTTGGTGTTAATGGTAATGCAGTATTGTGGACACGATGGTTGGTATTAGCATCTTTACAGATCAATTTAAAAAGCCCTGCTGGTGCAAGGGTTAAGTGCTTGGCTGCTAACTCAAAGGTTCAGTTAGCACCTACCTGGAGGTTCTGTGGGAGAAAGACCTGGTGATCTGCTCCCATAAAGATTACAGCCTAGAATATCCTATGGGGCAGTTCTACTCTGTCACATGGAGTTGCTATGAGTCGCAATCAACTCGATGGTCCCTAACAAATGCAACACAGATCAACAGGGGAGAAATGGTCTTTAAAATTATCCAGTCCTACAATCTATGAACAAATTATGTATCTCCCCATTTATTTGGGCCCTCTTTAATAGTTTTTACTAATGTTTTGTGATTTTCATGTTTTGTTAAATTTATTTCTATGTATCTGATGTTTTCTGATGCTATCATAAGTGGTATGGTTTTTAAAACTTACTTCCCACTGTTCTGCAGCAGTTCTAATAACTCTTTTCTGTTAAACTAGCATAATCTACATTTTGAATGTTAGAAAGTCATTGCGCTGAGTCAAACTATATCTTACTGGGGGGCTAACATCCTATCTGTACTTTACTGAACTCACCCAGAAAGATTCTAGTATCTGCTCTACATGAAACATTTCATTCTTCAAGTATTTTAAGAAAAGCTATCGTGGTCCCTTTTTCTATATTTCATTCAACCGATGTTATACAATTGGTTTTAAGATTTTACATCCTCATCATATTTTATTATCAATCATCAGCCAAGTATTATAGACCAATACAGTTTGTTTTAAATTCTTTTTAAATTGCCCAGAGTTCCAGATATTGTTGTTTAACATAAATATGTACTCAATTAAAAACATTCTTTTAATCTTAGATATTCCCAAGAACTCAGCTATTCTTGAAATACTTTGTATTTGTTAATCTCTCTTGAGATGGTATGATTTCCAGTTCCATAACAGAATAAAATAATAGAGCTTATTTCATAATTTGTATTCTGATTTTGCTTGCCACATAAAAAATGTCAATCTTTTTCAAAGCAATACACATTATTCTATTACTATTTATCTTCTGTTAATACTTTCATTGTTCACTTTATCACTGTAGCCCTCATTCTATTTTCTGCTAAATATTATGTTATTCACAGTTCATTTTTAATGCTCCAAGAAAAATAATTGGGAAATGACTGACTAAAAATGTCAAACTAAAAATCCCACAGCTTCTGTATCTATGGTAGCTTTTGTATGTCTTTGAACTTAATACTATAAATAAGCCTAAATACACACACCACTCTTAATCTAATACTCAACTTGGCATCTTTCACTTTATGAGTCACTCTTTTACTTTAAAACTGTTTTGTTTTTTTTTGTGCTGACTGATGTTCTGAGGTTGAGGGTTTTTTTTTTTTCCCCTCTCTTTTTCCTGAGGAATGGTGCACCTACAATGTTTAACATCTATACACTACGCCATCTTAGAAACAGTGTGTTAGGTATGATTCTAATCCAAAAAGGATAAAGAAAGCAACTTAAGTAAATTTCTATTTGCTTCCTTGAATTGCAGATAAAAACAACTCAAGTTTTCATTTTAATGTGATATAGACTAAAATGAATGCTAATGAACTTTGTCTCAAGTAGTGCCAAGGGCAAGGAGTAGGTTTGAATGTGCACAATGTGCTTCAGAAAACCAAGTATGGTACATACGCACAATAGAATACTATGCAACAATAAAGAAGAATGAAATCCGCGAAACACCTCATAATGTGGATGAACTTAGAGGACATTATGTTGAGTGAAATAAGTAAATCATAAAATGACAAATACTGTATGAATCTACTATCATAAAAAGTCAAGGAAAAATTTACACATGGAAAGAAACATTCTTTAATGGTTACCAGGGATGTGAGGGAAAATTACTAACTAGGGAAGAAACATGGATTAGTTTGGGTGAAAGGAAAGGCAATACACAAAAAGAGGGTGACCAGCACAATGTCACTAAGGAAAAGGAAGACAAGGAGAGGTATACAAGAGTTACAGACAATAAAGGTAAACACTATTACATAAATAGTCCTGCATTATCAGGAATAACAAACAGTCTATGAGTTGACACCTAGGTAGACAAGCAAAGATGATCAGGTGTGGGTAAGCAAACAGGACTATACCCACAATTATATATAGGTTTGGCAGACAGTATCCCTACATACGAATTTGTGTGTGCTGTGAAAATATCCAAGTATATAGTAGAGCTAACAGGGGGCAAAGTTATGAAAACTTAGCCATAACCAAACACCTTGAGGGAATGAGTCACTGGGCCATAGTCACAGGGGCATCAAAGTAAATCAACATAACACAGTCCACAGAGACACTGTTCACATTCTACTTTAATGACAGTGACTGGAATCTTAAAGTCTGTGAGCAGCCATCTAAGGTGCAACTATTACTGGTTTCTCCTCATCTAGAGCAAAGACAGACGCATGAATACAGCTAGTCCAAGGGGCTAGTGGACCGCGTGAACCTCACATGACCTTGATGACAGAACCTTCAGAAAGTATTTTTCTTCCTTTTTAAATGAAGTGAACTATTTTAAAGTACCAAACACTTCAAAGCACTCACTAAGTGCCACGCACTGCCCTAAGCAAGCTATAAATGTGACCTCACTTAATCCCCACTTCAACATTATGAAGTGGATACTATCATCATTCTCCTGGATAAATAAGGAAAATAGAAGTACTAGAGGTATTCAGGGACATGTCATAATCAGGCTGTAATTTTCTTATAAAAAATAAATAGTAATTATACACTTATGTGTGAATTATAAATGCAATCTATATGACTAATAATTATTATTTCATTGCTTAATTAAACCATTATAATGTCTTTCAAAATAGATGTAAGAAAATTTAATTTCTCTAACATAACTTAAAACATATGTTCAAGTGATTTTCTTTTCATTTCTGTGGTATTAGATTAAGATCAAATTAATTTGATTTGGATTTCAGTACACAAGGAAGTTCTGAGTTGAGTTATAAATACATAAAGTGAATGAACCCAACAATACCAAAGAAAATGAATGATAAAGACCAAACAGAATGTCTTGCTAAACTTTATATAGACTTTTATAAAGCTATGTGTGAGTCTGTAATATAGGTTACAGAATTATATATTTTCTCAAACTTTAACGCCTGCTCAAAAGGATAAATCAACCAAATGTTTATTTTTAATATAAAAGTAACTGCCATACTCTACCTAAGTTTTTGGCTAAGTATTAATAGTAACATCCAACCATAATATGAGAATAACATGGCTACCTCTGGCTTCATGTGATGTCCTCATTTCACCTTCAGTTCTCTCTTCAGTGTTTTCTTTGACAGGGACATCTTCTTCATGCTGGTATCTGATAAAAATATTTGCAAAAGTATCATTTTAAAAAATGGTTCAAAATTGCATTTTAAAACTGTTCCTCTTTAAAAATAAATGGCACAACTGACATATTTGAAAGGATATATAGCTCTACTCAGAAGGCAATTAATCCTAATAAAATTTATTAATATTCATTTTCTTCATTATCAATTTTCATTTACTATTTTAGGGAGGATATTTTAAAACCTAGAATATTAAGATGATCTATCCTGGAAAAAAGCAGCTACTGAATAACTCAACTACATATTGGGACAGGTATTGAAAAAACGACTCTACTTGTATTGTTTGATAAGATTTCAATGTAAGGAAAAAAAAATGTTTTGAAGTGAACACCATTTACTAAAGTCACTGTATATTCCTCAGCAAAGGATGTGGCCTTAAAGCTGAGACAGGGCCAGGGGACTCAATCCCACTTCCAGGAAGTGTTTCCAGCTTAGTCACTCCATGGACTGAACTGATTCCACTTCTGTCTGATCAGAGATGCCCTAAGGCTAAACTAAACTTGCCAGGGAGGCTCTGAATGGAATGGACCCATTCCAGTCTTAATTCATAAGCTAGACAAAAATGGTTTTAAAGTCTACTTACATTTTTTTAAAGCTCTATTTCTGGGATTTATAAATTTTCAGTCTACTTTAGTCCACCCTCAGTTTCATCTGAATACATACAAGATGTAATATCTGACCTGAACACTTTAGTGCTCTGAAATAATCTGTTCTTTATGGCTTTCTGTCATTTTATATGTGTTGTTACCTTAAAGATAAATCCTAAGTTCCTTGAGATCTAGACCATACTTTTAAGAACAGGGCAAATACACACAAAATATAAAAATTCTACAGTTTTAACATAAAAACTATAGAGGAACACTAATTTACTATCCGTTTGAAGCTATAATAATCTAACACAGTGAGGCTAACACAGTAAACATGCAATTAATAAATGTTCACTGAATTCCTAGGAAGGTAATTTCTCAGGGTAAATGTGCAATTTCATTTGAACCTGAGCTCCCTGGCTTAGTTCATAATGAAAACAACCATCACAGCTGCTGAAGAATACTTGCTTGGTTGATAATGGGGTAGAATCATTGTTATGAAACAATAAAAATATTTTTTTTCCAAGAGAATTAAATGGCTATGGGAGTCCTTACTCCATAGAAAGTGTGTGTATGTGTGTGTATGTATGTGTGTGTGTGTGTGTGTGTGTGGGTGAACAGAGCTAGAGTGAAAACAAATATAACATAATCAATGAAAACTAGATAATTTCATAAATAACATAAGCTGAGGTTGTGCTAAAAATGTCTTCTCTGTAATATAGGGCTGAAATTATATTTGCTAATTACAACATGTTAACATCAGCTTAATACGTTACACAGCTTGTATGACTTACAACTTGTTTTACATTAAATGGGAAATAAAGCTTCTAGATCATGAACTCTATCCTTAAGTATTGCTGCCAATGAAAATCTGTCTGTAGATAGCCACCAGACCTACCTTGATATTATTGGGAAAAAAAATCATACATTTCAGTAATATAACCTAAAATTGGCATTTCCCAGAGTCAAAAAGAAATTCATAATTAGCTACTGTGGGTTTCTTAGCAATTTTGATGAATGGTTTAAAAATTTAAAAAATAATAAAAAATAAAAGGTAAACAGAAACTAAGGGTGAAAATTAAGTGTTAGAATGTCTGTATATTTCAGTTTTCATGACTAGTTATTGCTCTCTCATCAATGATACTTCTGTAGTTTTAATGATGCATACTGTTCTTTCCAATAAAGTAAGCTTTGCTACAGTAAAGGTATAGGATTTAAGATGAGAGAAGTTCCTTTGTATTCTTATGTCCAAACGAAAGTGCTAATTATCTATTTCCTGAAATGTAGGCAAGAGATTATTTTCCAGGAGGAAACAGAGAGCAAGGGAATATAAAACCTTTGCTCCAAAAAGTTTCTTCACACCTGGATCTGCCATCACATGTCACAAAAGAGAAGCAAAATGAAAGCTATTTGCTCTTATACTACCTAGGTTTCTTCTTCATGCTGTTTCCTTTAGCTAGAGATCACTTGTGTGGAGGGGAGTTAATCTGTGCAGTCTATTAGAACAGATATTATGAAATAGATAGGCGACGAGAACCATTGAAGAGAACAGAATTCCAACCAAGCACATAGAGCAACGTGGAAGCAGTTAGTATTAAAAAGAAAAGTTACCATCTTTAGGGAAGTAGATTGCCATATCTTCCTTCCATGGAGTGGCTGGTGGGTTTGAACTGCTGACCTTCTGGTTAGCAGCCAAATGCCTTATGCACTATACCACCAGAGCTCCTTCTTAAGAATATACTATGTACCAAAGACTGGTTGGTATCTTTACAAGGCTCATACCCAAACCACACCCACTGCCATCAAGTCAATTCTGACTCCCAGAGACCCTACAAGACAAAGGAGAACTGCCTCATATGGCTTCCAAGGCTGTAAATCTTTACAGAAGCAGACTATGTCGTGTTTCTCCCCTGGGGTGGCTGGGGATTTGAAGCATTGACCTTTTGGTTAGCAGCTCAATACATTAACCACTGTATCATCAGAGGACCTTACATGTCTCATACTTCATAACAGTCTTTGGAGAAAAGATCTATTATTGTATCCACTGAAACTTAAAAGAGTTTAAGTACCTTGCCCAAGGTCATAGGGCAAGTTTAGCACAAGGCCTTCCCAATATAGAAATCTGTAATTAAATCCAATTACTCTTTGATTTTAACACCAACTCCCCCCCCCCCCAGGGCAAAGTACATAGCTTTGTTGCATGAAGTTAAAGGGAACATGACTTCTTCTCCCTTAACATTATTTTCCAATTTTATCTTTTATTGGTATGTTCAAAATGAAGAATCTAAGTTATTAAAATTCTTATTTGTTCTTTCATTTAAAACAAATTTGTTTTCTCATTTGGGTAAGCATTATTTTTCTCTTCTATAAGGTTAGGGATTTTATTAGTTCTGATTTAAAAAAGTACTATGAAGGATTTCTATTCATAAGTAAAAAATGAAATCTTTGTTCTAGAATTTCACCTTCCTAGGCAAAAGTTCTAGCTACAATGTCTTTCAATTACAGATAAACTATGATTATATCAAATTGTCAAAACTGTGGTAATATTACATACAGTACACTCTGGAACACAGTACAAGACATGCTCCTTGAGAGTCTTATTTTTCTTAATCACAACCAGAAATATTTTGATGCTGTATTTTACTATTAGAATTTTGCTCTAAATAAAAACACCTTCAGTAGTCTTCTATTTTGCTTTTTTTTCTTCACTGCCAAGAAGTGCATTTAGGAAGGGTTAGGGTTAAGGTCAGTTTGCCCTGCTGCAGTGGCTCACATGTTCTATGATGCTAGAAACCATGCCAGCAGTATTTCAAATACTAGCAGGATTACCCATGGTAGACATATTTCAGCAGAGCACAGTGACTCCCTTTGGGTTTCTGAGGTGGTGAATCTTTACACAAAGAGATTGTTCAGTCTTCCTTCCATGGAGTAATTGGTGGGTTTGAACTGCCAACCTTCTGGTTAGCAGTTAAATACCTTAGGCACTATGCCACCAGAACGTCTTTTTAGCAGGATTATCCATGGTAGACATATTTCAGCAGAGCTTCCAGGCTAAGACAGATCAGAAGAAAGCCTGGTCTACTTTCAAAAACTATTGTTGTTAGATGCTGTCGAGTTGGCTCCAACTCATAGCGACCCTATGTACAAAAGAATGAGACACTGCCTGGTTCTGCACCGTCCTTACAGTCCTTGCTATGCTCAAGGCCCATCCCGGAGGCCACTGTGTCAATCCATCTCATTGAGGATTCATGGCCTTCTTTGCCGACCCTCCACTTTACCAAGTATGATATCCTTCTCCCAGGAATGCTCCCTTCTCACAACATGGCCAAAGTAGGTGAGATGAAGCCTGGCCATTCTTGCTTCCAAGGAGTATTCTGGCTGCACTCACCCAAAGACAGATTGGTGTGTTCTGGCAGCCCATGGTATTTTCAGTATTCTTCACCAACACCACAATTCAAAGGCATCAACTCTTCTTTGGTCTTCCTTACTCATTGTCCAACTTTCACTTGCATATGAGGTGATTAAAAATACCATGGCTTGGGTCAGGTGCACCTTAGTCTTCAAAGTAACATCTTTACTTCGTAACCTTTTAAAGAGGTCTTTTGCAGCAGATGCTCCCAGTGCAATACAACCTTTGAATTCCTGACTGCTGCCTCCATGGGTGTTGACTGTGAATCCAAGTAAAATGAAATCCCAGGCAACTTCAATCTTTTCTCCATTTATCACGATATGGCTTAAAAGTTTCAGCTGTGAGGATTTTCATTTTCTTTATGTTGAGGTGCAATTCATACTGAAGACTACAGTCTTTGATCTTCATCAGTTAGTGCTTCAAGTCCTCTTCACTTTCAGCAAGCAAGGTTGTGTCATCTGCAAGTTGCCAGTTATTAATGAATCTTCCTCCAATCCTGATGCCATGTTCTTCTACATACAGTCCAGCTTCTCGGATTATTTGCTCAGCATACAGACTAAATTATGGTAAAAGGATAAAACACTGACACACAACCTTCCTGATTTTGAATCATACAGTTGTCCCCTTGTTCTGTTTGAACAGCAGCTTCTTGGTCTGTGTACAGGTTCCTCATGAGTATAATGAAGTGTTCTGGAATTCCCATTCTTCTCAATGTTATGCACAATCTGTTATGCTCCACACATTTTTACTATGGAAATGCTTAGCCAATAAAAACCCTAAGTTCATAATAATGGAGGGTGAGCCTCCTAGGCTGGACAAAACCAAACCAAACCTGTTGTCATCAAGTCTACTCCAATTCGTAGCACTTAAACCATTTATGTTGAACAGACAGACAGACAAACTGAGACACAAAGACAAAGAAATTAGACAGAGTAGAACTGTCCCACACAGTTTCCTAGGTGTAATCTTCATGGAA